CTGGAGTAATGATGCTGAAAATTCAGCTGTGCATCACAGGAATAAATTACATTTTAACATATATTCAAATAGAAAACCGCTATTTTAAATTATAATAATATTTCGCAATATTACTGTTTTTACTGTATTTTTAATCAAATAAATGAAGCCTTGGTGAGGATCCGAGCATTCAAAAATATTTAAAAAAATCTTTCCAACCCCAAGCTTTTGAACAGTAGCGTATAAGCTGAAATAATTTGTGTCTGAATGTGACTGCGGTATGAATAGAAACATGAATGAAAGATCGCAAGGGCCAGGAGGAGAGGAGTAGAGAAAGACTGTGCTTTTAGATGTTGTTATCTTTCTTTTATTGTAGCGTATTAATTAAGGTAAGTTGTTTCTGCCCTCTTTGCCTCCAGTCTTTCAGATTGGATTTTAACTGGATGTAGTCAGGCAGAACCTGCGCTGCTCCGTCTCATTACTGCTAATTTCTGAGCACCAGTGGCTGATTGGGAGCTTGTGTTATTGCACATTTTATATTAACAAACCTCAGAGTCTTTGGGTAGTTTTTTTTTTTTTAGATAAAATGCTTTCTTTTTTACTTTAATGCAGTGCATTTTCACTTTTATTTTCTCAGACCTTCACTACACTCATATGTTTGGGACATTTTTCTTATTTTAGAATAAGAGAAAGTCATCAGTACTATGAAATAATGCTTATGAAAGTATGGGAACAACCAACGAATGTTAAACAAATTAAAACTCTCTTATATTTGAGCTGCTTTGTCTAGATTCTGATTATTCTGGACATTCACTCAACCAGCTGCAGTGCATCCTGGGATTCTTTTAAAGAGTTTTGACACAGTTGTTGACATGTTTTTCCTCCAAATTAAAAATGTAAAAAATTAAGTATTTAAAAAAAAAAGAAACAAATTTGAAGTATTTTTATTTTATTTTATTTTTTACCAAATTAAATATCACAAGCCTTTGGATCACATGCATTTTAAGATAATGCTACTATAAATTCAGTCAAGAGTTCAAACTTTTGTCTGGTTTTGTTAGTATATGTCTAGTTTCACAATAGGCATGTTTCCATTACAGATTTACGCAAAACTTTGGCGATATTTTATAAATGTCGATAAAAAGTATTGCGAAATGACGGCATTTCCATTAACCCATGTTATGCAACTAAAGCGTAATTTTTTCCTCTCACGATAAGTCATGGCAACGGATTTTGATGGGATTTTGATGGATTTTGGCTTCACTAGCCATTATATTTAATCGAAGGAGGCGTATGTGTGTATCTAGCTTCTGGGACGTGCCGTGGCGTGACTGGTAACACAAGCGTTGACTAGAGTGGCCGCGACCAGCTCCGGTGGCCGTTTCGGAGCCGTAACCCTCCGCAGACATGTGCAGTGTAAATAGTCTAAGCATTAATGGCAGGGAAAGCTCCTTATACTTGAGAGCAGCCACATATGAAGTGTTTCTTGGAGGTTATAGTACATTGAAGAATGATCATATGACTTTTTACGTACGCCATGTGACCTGGTAATGCGAAAAAAAAAACGTTTCCATTGCAGTTTTGCGAAATATGTCTTTTTCAAATTGCCTGAAAAACCACCTCATGCGAGCGGAAAAACTTTTTTGTGATATATGGGCGTTTTTGCAAAATTAACGCGTTTCTATTAGGCGTATTTTCAATTCGCAATTTCAATTTACGCAATTTGAAGGGTAATGGAAACGCAGCTAATGAGTTAATGATTTAATGGCTTTTGTACTTTTATTTGCTTTTAGTGAAAAACTGTAACATATGTATACAGTGGTGTGAAAAAGTTTTTGCCCCCTTCCTGTTTTTTTAATTGTTTGCATATTTGTCACACTTAAAAGATTCAGATCATCAAACAAATTTTAATATTACACAAAGATAACCTGAGTAAATACAAACTGCAGTTTTGAAATTATGATTTCATTTATTAAGGGAAAAAAGCTGTCCAAACCTGCCTGGCACTACGTGAAAAAGTAATTGCCCCCTAAATCTAATAACTGGTTGTGCCACCCTTTGCAGCAACAACTGCAATCAAGCATTTGCGATAAATGGCAATGAGTCTTTCACAGGAATTTTGGCCCACTCTTCTTTGCAGAATTGTTTTCATTCAGACACATTGGCGGGTTTTCCAGCATGAATGGACTGTTTAAGGTCATGCCGCAGCATCTCAATCGGATTTAAGTCTGGACTTTGACTTGGCCACTCCAAAACCTTAATGAAGCCTAACATTTGGATTTGTTCATTAGTCTATTTTTCTTTTTTCTTTTTTTAAAGGTCAAATGATTTTCTTTTAATTGCAATGAACTGCTGTTAAATTGGATGTGAATTACTATATTATCACCACTGTATTTTGTGAGCAGAGAGGTATAGAATGCGTTTCAAAACCCGTGAGACAGCATTTTGGTGCATTATAAGTGCATTCAAATTCTAAGTAGGCAGCTCTATAAATTTAGCAATAAATTTGGTCTCTCCTTTGTATTCAAAGAAATATTACCGAAATAACAATTACTGTTATTTTGTATGCTGTTTAACAATTAATGCACAAAATGAATGTTGCTTAGCTTTTTTTCTCTGTGGTTTCAAGTTGCTGACATCAGAAACACAGTTTTTTTTTTTAATAATTCCATATTGAAATTACCTGTTGTAATGGCAAATTTATCAGATGGCCAGCCAACAGAATAATTGTCTGTGTTCAGATGCAGAGGTGTATAATCACTGGACAGTGCAATGCCAGATAATTGTGTTGCTGTTCATAATAGCAGGTGAGAAATTATATCACGACCATGTCCAAATACAATATATTCCCTTCTGTGATACTAAAATACAAAATATGTGCCATTTGCACAATCTACTTATTACTAAAATCAAAAGTAAATATTTACTTTTGCTTTCATTTTTGCTAAAAATGAAATGTGTTGCCTTATTTTGACCACATTCTGGAAAATACTACTAAAGTAGTTCCATCGACCTTTGTGCAACATATTTATCCATGTGTATTGTGCATCCCGTCTTACATTTGTGGTTGATTTCCAGCAAAAAGAAGCATGAAATGTAAACAAAGCAGAGAGATCAACTGGGGCGACAGACCTTCACCCTTTAGTCCTTGATTTAGACACAAAGCTGCTGGCTCTGTATTGATCTCTGACCTGGAGTCAAGTCCCGTGAATAAATCGGATAATTGAGGAGGGTGTCAAACTAATTGGATTGTTGCCGTTCGCTTGAGGCCATGCGCTCCGCTGAAGGGAACGGGAGTCTTTGCCAATGATATGCATGTGTTTGGGTCATCATATGCAGATTATGGATCGGAGATGAGAGGAGATACAGATTTATATGCTTTACATTCAAGATAAACCACGCTCAACATTTCATCTGAATTTAAAGTTATGCGTGTAGTTTTTATTAGAGTGATGGCAGAAATGTGTCATCTGGTAGAGACTTTAAAGTTTTGTTTCTACAATGTACCAATTAATCTTCATTTGTTATGAATAAACTTATCCTTTGGTTTTATATCCATTAAGTTCCAAATAAACATGATAAAGTAGCTTTCATTTGTAAAATCCAAAAAGTTGGCATTAAATGCATTAAATAATAATATAAATTAGTTTATATTATATAGTTTATAATAGTTAGTGAAAGGTTTATATTCATATTCTTTTTTATTATATTTTTATATATTATTTCATAATTCCTTGATAATTCATGATAAACATGATAAAGTAGCTTTAATTTGTAAAATCCAAAAAGTCAGCATTAAATGCATTAAATAATAATATAAAAGGAATAATATGAATATAAATGAGTTTATATGATATAGTTTATGCTAGTTAGTGAAAGGTTTATATTCATATTCTTTTTTATTATATTTTTATATATTATTTCATAATTCCTTGATAATTCATGATCAGTTTTCTAAAAATGAGACCTAAATAGTGTGCTAATGATCATTATTATATTATATTTTATATTATTTATATTATTTCCCTGTTAAGTAAATATTGAAAAAATTGGACCTTATTAATGTGCTAATAATCATTATATTATATTATATGATATTATATTATATTATATTATATTATATGATATTATATTATCCTTGCTAACCCTGTTAAATATATGTATATTTAAAAAAAAAAAATCTCACAATGTAGAGGAGAAATTTACCAAAAAAAAAAAACTGGGGTTGGCACATGACCTTAATAATTCATGATAATTTCTCTAAACATGAGACCTCAGTAATGTACTAATGATCATTTACAGTGGGCGTCAATAAACGGTGTTATGTTGTGCGTTTTTAATACTAATAAACAGCCTTTTTTTCTGTAGAACAACTGCAGTGATTGAGTCTGTGAACTTATTATGGCCTCATGCAGCTTCATCGTCCGTAATACTCATGTGTGTAATCATCGTCCCATACATATCAAAAGTAATCATGGTTTTGAACTGAATATTGAGCAAATTGCAGAAATGATGGTCTGTTTTTCACCTCTCGCCCCTCATTTGAGCTCGGTAGAAACGTTGCAGTACCTCGCGTGTGTTTTTGCGATGTGGAAATTACTGTGACCAGAATGATTAACCCACATTATATTCTATTTAGGCAGCTGCAATAATAATGAGTCTTCACTGGTAATGAGATAAGTACTCTAATGGATGTATTTACCTTTTTAATCACTTGGATTTTACGATGCTGATGAACAACAGAAACTGACACTAATCGCAGATACCCATAATGCACCTTGGATATTGGCCATTTAAATGTTTGTATTTTCAGCCTTTAGTGAAGATGATCTCGAACTTGGAAATAATGGCATTTATGTTTTTCTTTCTTTAATCTGCAATTTCATTCTTTTTTTTTTAATAATTTGATTATTATTTTGTCATATTTTTTCATTTTTAAATCTGTCAGTATCAGACATACTCTTTACCAAATTGAACAATCACTTTGTGTCCAAACTCATCTCACGTTTGGTGTGTTTCAGAGCAAGAGGAGTCATTTGAGTTCATCATTGTGTCCCTGACGGGTCAGATGTGGCACTTTGAGGTGTCCACGTATGAGGAGAGAGAACTCTGGGTTCAGGCCATTGACAGTTTTCTAAAAATGAGACCTAAATAGTGTGCTAATGATCATTATTATATTATATTTTATATTATTTATATTATTTCCCTGTTAAGTAAATATTGAAAAAATTGGACCTTATTAATGTGCTAATAATCATTATATTATATTATATGATATTATATTATATTATATTATATTATATGATATTATATTATCCTTGCTAACCCTGTTAAATATATGTATATTTAAAAAAAAAAAATCTCACAATGTAGAGGAGAAATTTACCAAAAAAAAAAAACTGGGGTTGGCACATGACCTTAATAATTCATGATAATTTCTCTAAACATGAGACCTCAGTAATGTACTAATGATCATTTACAGTGGGCGTCAATAAACGGTGTTATGTTGTGCGTTTTTAATACTAATAAACAGCCTTTTTTTCTGTAGAACAACTGCAGTGATTGAGTCTGTGAACTTATTATGGCCTCATGCAGCTTCATCGTCCGTAATACTCATGTGTGTAATCATCGTCCCATACATATCAAAAGTAATCATGGTTTTGAACTGAATATTGAGCAAATTGCAGAAATGATGGTCTGTTTTTCACCTCTCGCCCCTCATTTGAGCTCGGTAGAAACGTTGCAGTACCTCGCGTGTGTTTTTGCGATGTGGAAATTACTGTGACCAGAATGATTAACCCACATTATATTCTATTTAGGCAGCTGCAATAATAATGAGTCTTCACTGGTAATGAGATAAGTACTCTAATGGATGTATTTACCTTTTTAATCACTTGGATTTTACGATGCTGATGAACAACAGAAACTGACACTAATCGCAGATACCCATAATGCACCTTGGATATTGGCCATTTAAATGTTTGTATTTTCAGCCTTTAGTGAAGATGATCTCGAACTTGGAAATAATGGCATTTATGTTTTTCTTTCTTTAATCTGCAATTTCATTCTTTTTTTTTTAATAATTTGATTATTATTTTGTCATATTTTTTCATTTTTAAATCTGTCAGTATCAGACATACTCTTTACCAAATTGAACAATCACTTTGTGTCCAAACTCATCTCACGTTTGGTGTGTTTCAGAGCAAGAGGAGTCATTTGAGTTCATCATTGTGTCCCTGACGGGTCAGATGTGGCACTTTGAGGTGTCCACGTATGAGGAGAGAGAACTCTGGGTTCAGGCCATTGAGAGCCAGATATTTGCCAGTCTACAGTCCTGTGAGAGCAGCAAGAACAAGGTAAGATGATATTATGTTTAGATACTGTGGAAATAGGTTAATATGCCTTATGTATCCTTCTGCTCTGTTCAAACTGTGACATCTGAATTATTATGCCACATAGTCTCGATTAGGAAGCCAGAGTGATGCAGTGGTCATCCAGTCCATCAGGAACATGAGGGGAAACAGCTTCTGTGCAGACTGTGACGCCCCCAGTGAGTAAAACATTGTGACGGCACCCATTTCTGGACATGAAGCTAGATTCATTTTATTAGACATTTTGTATTTTCCTTTGCTGTATAGTGTCATGAGGTATAATGTGATAAAGTACTTTAAAATAATAAAAATAATGTACAATTCAATTAAAATAATTTTAATAATTTTTTTGTTGGGTAGTTTCACCCACATTAAAATAATTTAAAAATAATTCAATTAACTTAGATAATTTAGTAAAAAATAACTTTTAAGACATTTTTTCTGTTTTTGTTGGGTAGTTTCTCCCACATTAAAATAATACAAATAATATTAAAGTAATTAAAATAAAAACTTAAATTAAAATTCATTTGAGTAATTAAATAAAAATAATTGTTCTAGTTTTGTTGAGTAGTTTTACTCACATTAAAATAATAAAACATAATTAAAAAATAACATACAATTTAAAATTAATATTAAATAACTTTAATAATTTAATAAAAATAAGTTTTTAGACACTTTTTGGGGTAGTTTCACACATTTTAAAATAATAAAAATAAGTTTAAAAAATACATTTATAAATTATATAAACATTTTCAGACAATTCTTTCTATTTTTTTGTTGGATAGTTTCTTCCACATTTTTACACTTGGAATACTAATGGTTTATGGCATAGTCATTGCTGAGAATGACCCCTCAGACCACACGCGAATTAGCATATCAGAGTTTGAATTGCATCAAATGTAATATTGGTATGGAGAACTGAAATGTAATTGTCTCTCAGATCCGGACTGGGCCAGTCTGAACCTTGGCGCTCTGATCTGTATCGAGTGCTCCGGGATGCACAGGAACCTGGGCACCCATCTGTCCCGCGTACGGTCTCTGGACCTGGATGACTGGCCTGTGGAGCTCAGCATGGTGATGACGGCCATCGGGAACGCCATGGCCAACAGCGTATGGGAGGGCTGTGTGGAAGGATACATCAAACCTGGGGTGGACAGCACCAGGTGAGTCACCTGTCCACAGCATTAGCTGGTAGCCTTGAAAACAAGATTTTAAGTCAAAAAATCATCATGACAAGATCCTTTTCTCCCAGCCCCTATGAATTGAAATAATGTTTAGAATAGTTTTGTTAACTAATAAAATCTAATTATTTTTGTTTTTGTGTTATTAGCCAAGTTTCCATCCAGTTTACTAGCAACTTTCCTTTCTATTTTGCACAAGTTTAAAAACAAAATTCAAAGGCTGCAATTTGATTAGATGTATGCACTACATGTTTCAGAGTGAAACGTGGCACTGTGTTGTTTTACACGTGAGCAGTTCATGATCTGGTGTTTTCAGTGTCTCAAAGCGGCTGGGTTTACAATACTGTAAATGCTGCTCCACATGAACTCTATCTCTGCATCTGTTTGTGAGTTTGGGTCACTTATAACGTGCATTTGATAATGCAATAAGTGCTTATTGTCAACAAAATAGAAGCTTTAAAGGCTTCCTGCATATTTCCGCCAGAATAAAATCTTGATGGTTTAACATTCAAAAATGAATTACGACAATCATAAATATTAGTATTGGTGTAAAATTATTTTTGTTATTATTACAAAAAAAAATTACAGTGAAGAATTAAAATAGTAATCTCTTATTTTGTTTAATTTTTTTAATTAATAGTAATAATGATGATAATAACCATTATTATTATTATTGTTTTAGAATAATGTAATATAATATAATATAATTTTTGGCTAAATTGTGCAGCTCTAAAACAAGCACAGTAAACCTGGAGCTTTTTTTTAAATTGCATTATAAATTGGCATTTTTATCAGAACAATCACAATTTGTAGTCAATTTGAATAATGTTTGGACTTCTTAATCATGTTCTATAAATGTTTTATGAATTAAACGCTCAAAGAAAGCTTTGTTTTGCATAGTCAGACATTAAACATGGTGGCTGTAAGTATTTAAGAAAGTGAAGTGTAGTATTTGAAGATTGGGCTCTTTGTTCAGGATGTGAAAGCATATTCAATGAGCATTACATCCAGTGTCAGTTAAATGATCAATGACTGGATTGTGTCAGAGTCTTCACCCAGTCATCGTTCCATTAGTGTTGTTTGAAGAAGATGAGATGTTTCAGGAGATAATATGGTCCATAGACCATTTTCTGGAGCTGCTCACCTGCTCCGCTTCCAGTCGATGTCTCGAGGTGTTTCCCCCCTTTAAGCCTGACACACTCGCTCACATTCCCAATCTGTCTAATGACCTGGAGAAAAGAGTGTTTTTGGTGGCAATTAAGGACACTATTACAGTCCCAAACCGCTCACCCCTTGGGGCTGAACTGAGAGCTCTCGATGGCTCTGACAGCTATCCATCACTCAGAGTCATCACATCAGTCACTCCTGAGGGTATGAATCCCGTCAGACACCTTCACACCGCCTGGCCTGTGCTTTGGTCTAGTGCATCATAATGCAGGATTTATTGTAACCCTGCTGAACTCTGTCTTGTGCCTTTATCTGTTAGATCAGGCTGAGACATGCTGTTGGAATGGCAGTATCTAGCACATAATTCATCATGCATGTTTATGTTACAGATGTGAATGATGCCTAAAAGGGTGTGGCTTGTTGAGGAAAGTTCTGCTCTTACTTTACAGTGACTGAACTTTGCCTAGTGCATGGATGATTTATGAATGATTTTTGCTTAGTGCATGATTAAACAGGTCAGAGAAATCCCACAGTTTTAAACCGAAGGAGGCCATGTCGAGAGACTACAATATTATTGAGATATGAGAATGGAAAACCACCTGGCAGCCATCTAAAACTCCTTAGCAACCACATAGCAACAAAATAAAAACACTCAGAACACCTTAGCAACTGCATAGCAACACCCTGGCAACCACCTACAATACTCTATCACAATGGTGACCAGCGCCACTCAGATTTTCAAAATCTAGTTTTACGCTATAGCCAATAACCAGTATGATGACTTTATGATATTATGAATTTATTTTTGTATATGTATATATATGAGGGGCTGTACAAGCCATAATTCATTCTGGCACTCTCACACACTTACATTCTCCTTTCACATACATATATTTTTGCTTTCACACACTTACATTCTCCTTACACATGCATACATTTCTACTCTCACACAAATGGATGCCACCTTATTGGGACATTAAAGCCCTCCCTAACCCTACCCGATACTTTATCTTCAACTTTTTGATTGTTTCCTTCATTTTTATTGAAAATAAATGCGTTTCTGATGTGATATGAGATTTGAAAAGGAAGAAAAAAAGTTTGGTAAAAGGCGGATTCGAACCCGGGTCGGTCGCGTCAAAAAGACCACGGTGCGCGCTTTACCATCTACACCACTGCAGCTGACGATTAAGTGCCGTGTTTTAAAGTGTTGACTATCCCTATAACACATTTGTGGGTGGAGCTACTGTAAATAGCCTCTATCAACAAGGTGGGCTATTTGCACTTAGTGTAAATAGACACTCCTGGAAAAAAAAATCCATAGACGCTTATAATGCGTGTATCTGGCAACTCGACTGAGGCTGAGCCCGCGACCTCAATCACAACTCGCTCAAGGGACGAGGCCACATAGAAATGTATGCATGTGAAAGGAGAATGTAAGTATGTGAAAGCAAAAATATATGTATGTGAAAGGAGAATGTA